ATTATCCAAGACTCTGTAGCTCACCTTCATGATATTGACAGAGAACATACTTAAAATCCCCAGCAAGTCACAAAATGACTTCTTCTCAGATAGCACAAGCTGTTAATAATGGTTGCAGTTACAGATTGGCAAACACTACAAATATCCAGTGCGCAGGCCACACCCACCTGAGTCATTACCATGTCCATATACATGGCCACTATCTTGAACACTACCATACTGAATGTATGGCTAATATCATATCCATTTACATGGCCACTATCTTGAACACTACCATACTCAATCTATGGCTGATATCATTTCTATTTACATGGCCACTATCTTGAACACTGCCATACTCAATCTATGGCTGATATCATATCCATATGTATGGCCACTATCTTGAACACTACCATACTCAATCTATGGCTGATATAATTTCTATTTACATGGCCACTATCTTGAACACTACCATACTGAATCTTTGGCCGATATCATATCCATTTACATGGCCACTATCTTGAACACTACCATACTCAATCTATGGCCAATATCACATCTATTTACACGGCCACTATCTTGAACACTACCATACTGAATCTATGACCGATATCACATCTATTTACACGGCCACTATCTTGAACACTACCATACTGAATCTATGGCCGATATCACATCTATTTACACGGCCACTATCTTGAACACTATCCAATCTATGGCCGATATCACATCTATTTACATGGCCACTATCTTGAACATTATCCAATCTATGGCCGATATCACAATTATTACACGACCACTATCTTGAACATTATCCAATCTATGGCCGATATCACATCTATTTACACGGCCACTATCTTGAACACTGTCCAATCTATGGCCAATATCATTTCTATTTACATGGCCATTTGTCCTGAAAACTACCATACCAAATCTATGGCTGATATCATACCCATGTATATGGCCACATGTCCTGAAAAACTACCATACCAAATCTTTGGCCGTTGTCATATTCATTCACATGGCCACTATCTTGAACGCTGCCATATCCAATCTATGGCCAATATCATTTCTATCCACATGGCCACTATCTTGAACACTACCATATCCAATCTATGGCTGATATCATATCTATTTACATGGCCAATTATCTTTGAAACTACCATCGAATTGCCACGAGACTCTTACATCTGATCACACAGCATCTTTCCTTTCTGTTCAGACAATCTCCTGAGCCTCTCACATATGCAACTATCATATCATGTCCCATGAACAACATGGCAGCAGCAGTACCATACCAGCTAGCACTGGGTGTATCAAACACACTGTCATGGCCACAAACAATACTACTATGACAAAGTCACTACCATACGGTTAGTGCCTTTTTCCTCTTGGTTTGAAAGTATCCATCAAACTACTGTATTGTAGAAGGCACTGTATATACACAGATTATATACAACAACTAACAGACAAACAAAACATTGCACTATGATGTAAGCTCACATGGGCCTTTGGTCTTTGTGAGCTGAAACCTGACCAATGTCAAAATCAAAAGTGACAATCAAATAACATTATGTTCATCTAGACACTGCATGCTGGTATCTCTTAACACATCTCAATAATCCATAATGCATGTCATTTCCCACCAACTTAAAAAAACACCAATTAGAGCCACAAAGATTTGAATTTCAACACACAATTTTGATAGAACAGTCACTTTACACCAATAACATGACATCAAACATTCAAAAGACTTTGGAAACATTGGGTGCAAAGCAAATGTTGTTAATATTAAGGATTTTTATCTGTTTGAAGCCTGCTTCAAGTTGACAGACAGGAAGTTTTCAATCACACACAATAGGAAAAAGGAGGTTTTACTGACAGTAGCATGCTCCTTATTGTAGGAGCTGATGCACGAATGTCTGAGAGAACATGTTTTGTTGAGATTTCTAAAGATGACATGTCAAAGCTGAAAGACACACTCTAACAGAGTATAACAGTCTCAACTAGACAAGTAAAGAGTATATAGCATCAAGTATCAACATCAGAACCACATGTCCTCAAATGATGCACTCAGATTGACTGGTGCTAATAACAGATGACATATATTCCAAGTGATATACATGTATGTCTTATTCCGCATCATTAAATGTTTTCCTCAGTATTTTACTGACGATGCTTGACCAGTATGAACATGTTAACACAGGACCACAATCACACATTGTCAATTATACAGCATAAAGACTTAACATTCTTCAACAAAACATTTCCAGAATAATACCAGCTTTTTGTGACTTCAATTTATTTTCTTTTGAATTTTAATGTTTATGTTTTAAATCACAAAATGGTTTCATAGCCCTGAAATGTGAAATATTTGAGGAAATATGGTATTTGTACTTGAAGAAATAAGCAAGCATGTGTGAGACAGTTAAGTAGAGATAACATCACTGCAAATCTTCAAGTCACATGAACTAAATATTTTCAGCCACACAGTGTCTCAATGGCAGAAACTGGTGTTCCAATATCACTGACAACATGTATTGGTGTATCACAGGAATCCACACAGCAATACAGGAACAATGGGAATGCAGGTGGAACAAAAACTGCTGTGGTCATACATACAAACTAAACATTTGTTTCCTTAACACGTCATACTTTACTGCATACCATCACTGAGTGAAACAACATGAGTCACCATACTTGTTCTCATACATAAAATTAGATTAAAAGGCTTGAATGCATTATACAAGACACCTTCCACCACATTACATTATCTACTTCCTTGACAACCAAAGCGTTTGCCATTTTTATACATGCAAGTCATATGAACATCACCTGACCTAATCCAATATGGCTGGTAGGTGTTCTGTGTAATGCATGAGTACCGCTTAGACTAGGAACAGTTTTGTTCAAACTATTTTGACATTCAGAAAGAATATTACAGGATTTACACCTAGTTTCTGGAAATGTGACAGTGTGGAAAAAGAAGCAAGGAAGCGTAACAGCATGCACAGCAACACAGCAAGGAACATGATGCAGGCAAGCAGGAGAGAGAAGTGAGGCAACAGCGACAACCCAGATGTTCACCATGTAGCACCACCACCAGTTCAGTCCTTAACATTCACAGCCATCACATCGTCACCAACTACAGGTGAAACGTGGAGAAGGCCATGATCTTACCTGTCATATAACCACACCAATTTTTTGGACATTAAGTACCCAAAGCCAAATCAGTAGAAAGCAGACATATGTGAACAAATATAAAGTGATGTAAATAGCATCTATTTCTAAATAAACGAAATATTGGTAAAAACATAACTGAGATACCAAAGTGGCGCAAATTGAATCTGCATGCACCCTACCGCAAAACTGATAATAATGTTGTCTTATTGACTGAACTTCACTGAAGCAGGTCAGAGTTATCTCCCTTTGTAACTTCTCATTGCAGAAAATGAGGACCTGTCATTGAGTTACTGATAACAGTCAGACAGCCCCGTGTTATCCCTAAACTTCAGTGGGTTGTATGTTATGTACGCTGCAAGTTCCCATAATGCGGAATCAGTGGACATCCCAGTCTGATCAATGACCATGGGTTCATCAAATACATTTTCTCTGGTGTAAAATACAATTAACACTTCAGAAAGGTTTTCCACATCATCTATAAACCCATTAACTGAAAGCCCACCCAAACTTTACATGTTTAAAATAACTACCGTCTAATAAGCTATGCTGATGACAGCATCTTGTCTTTGAGGGGAGTAAAGCGGGACTGTTCGGGAGAATCTAAATCTGAGTCAACAGAAAGATGAACACACAGCCAACATCACCAGCACTTCTCTATCATTCAGTCATCCTCGAAACCAAACGGGTCCCTACCAAGCCATACTTGATTAAGTTCCATCACAACTGACATGGAAATCAAGTTCTGTGTACATGGGCCAGAAATCAATCTGAATGTATCATCACATCTATCTCAACACAGATGTCTGTCTATTTATCTTACTTGTATGTAAACTGTTGCAAGTCACATGACAAAGCATACCAGTGAAGCACTGACCAGAAAGGACACGAAGCTACCCATCCTGTTAGTGCACTCACTGCTAAACATGACCATATTCAGATAACAGGGAAATTAGACCTATATCCCACATACCTTGAGAGCAACATTATTCCTTCAACGATTAGTTAGTGTCTACCATTCCCTCTGAGACAAGGATTCACTGTCATATAAACATCCTAGCACTGATTCTTGTAGCTGCTCCGTCAAGACTTACAATGGTTGATTTGCTAACATGGCTCAATGCAACCTGGCCCTGTTTCTCACCAAACATACAGATAAGCTGTAGGGTACACAAGCTACATCTGGTTACAGTATCAGAATTTTCCCCTTTCCCCCTTCCCTGTATAAATGAAATCCTTTGTGGCCCACATCGTCTGATGGGTTAGCCATGTTCTCACAGGGGCAGCACTAACACCCATGTCCCCACTGGGTGGGACTGGTTGGGGGCAGGAGGGAGCGAGGGTAGGGTACAGACACCAGGGTAGTGTAGGGGTGTGTGATGTGACTGCTTCACCAGCTGCAAGTGCACTCTCAAGTCTAATAGGCACAAGCCTACATGGTAGGCACATCAGGTACACTCAAACTCTATTCTCTAACTGAATCATCATATCATCTAACGGATTAAATTTTTAGTTTAAACATATTTTATTGTCCTAAAGACAACGGGATTAGGCACAAGTGCAGCACTTATGGTCGCCTTCTCCCTAACGGATTAAATCAGAAAATGTTCAATTACAAATTGCCAACAGTCCATAAATAGAACTACTATTGTTAACACAAACTGGTACCTAGCTACCATATCTTCATTTATCCAAGTGCTACAAGATGTGGACGTTCCTGTGTGGTGGCTTACGTGACTGGTCGCAGGCCGCCGTCGTGTTGGCCTCACCTCAAGGGGAAGTAGGATGGATGCGGATGACAAACAACACCTAGACAATGAGGTAATAAATTGATTGCTTACATGACTCCTGCTCACCTTCTTTGGCGCGCGAACGGCGCTTCTCAGCCTGAAATAATAATCAAACAATTAGTCACATATGAACTTATCGAGTTTCGTAAAACCTGGGTGTTGGAGAAATACTTTGAGTACTTGATAAATCTGGCAATATGATTTCATATATTGGCGTCTGTATTTAAATGATACTTATGTATAAGTTTGGTAACTTTTCAAAGTAGAAAGACCAAACAGCATTTTCAATGACCTGGCTTGCCTCCCTTGGCATATGTTATATAAATCCAATTATCAAATGGCTAAACCAATAATTTACTGGCTTTACATATGAAGAACAAAACAGCATAACACAGAAACCCTTACCTACACAATATAAAGACAAAAACCATAATCTGAAGATGAATAAGAAGCTAGGATTCAACTAATTATCTCCCTTGGATCATGAGGCAAAGTGCAACACAAACTACCCCCTTGAAATATATGCCTAATTTGTCACCAGAACAAGAAAATTTCTTACCATTGAACCTGTATGCACAGCATTTGACAATCTCACACAACCTGACTACACAGCATTTGACAACCTGACACAACCTGACTACACAGCATTTGACAACCTGACTACACAGCATTTGACAACCTGACACAACCTGACTACACAGCATTTGACAACCTGACTACACAGCATTTGACCTGACACAACCTGACTACACAGCATATGACAACCTGACACAACCTGACTACACAGCATTTGACAACCTGACACAACCTGACTACACAGCATTTGACAACCTCGTACAACCCGACTACACAGCATTGACAACCCAACTACAAAGCATTTGACAACCTGACTACACAGCATTTGACAACCCAACTACACAGCATTGACAACCCGACTACACAGGATTTGACAACCTGACTACACAGCATATGACAACCTGACTACACAATCTTTGACAACCTGACTACACAATCTTTGACAACCTGACTATACAGCATTTGACAACCTGACTACACAGCATTTGACAACCTGACTACACAGCATTTGACAACCTGACTACACAGCATCTGACCTCACAGTGTTTGACAACCTGAATTCACGATATTTAACAATCTGACTGCACTCTTCAGTCTTACTTCACAGATTTAAGAACTGTCTTTAAATTTTTAGCATTTATGGAGGTATAAAAGATAAAACCACACTACACGCAGTTTGCATACCATTTAAACCACTATTATTAGGGCTAAAGCATATTGAAGTCAGTTCTTATAAATGAGCCCCTATTATCTGCCAATCGGAAAACAGCAGACATACAATGGCATGACATGATATATGGGACAGTTTTGGAACACCAACAGAAAAGTCATTTCTTATTAACCAATCAAATATCATGGACTCACAATTTGTTTCATGTGTCAATACACAAGAATAATTTCAATCCCTGATATTTTCTCCATACACAGGGAGCAAGGTTGACATTATACCTGAGCACTTCTATTAACAGGTGGTTCACTGAGTTCTGGAATCTCCACATACTGGTCCCGTCTCTGATACTGCTTCTGCAGCAAGCGGTCCGTCTCCTCATCAGTGTCCGAGTCTGCAACACACACTCACGTGTCAATAATCCATTAACATGTTCTTGTCTGTGAAAGACATATGGGCATCCATGAAACAATTCTGATGCCTAATTATTTACAATTTTTAACAACAGTCAAAAACAGTGACAGAGAAAACCTTGAAATCAATAATAATGGTCATAATATACTTCAGTCAATTTAAAGGACTACCTCACTGAACTACATTTATACACAATAAACTTTAAATATTTGAAATTATTGGTGGCCTCAAAGTGTTCCTAATATCAGTAGGTTACATAAATATTTGTTAAAGATTTCTTCAGTCACAAATATAAGTTTTACTGTCCTTATAAATACTAACTGTAAAGTACATTGTTTTATCATAAGATTAAAATTGGATGTGAGGTTTTTTATTTATGTTTGCAAGTAAGGAGTTCACATCTGAGCACCATATCAAGTAGCACAGACAAATTAACTCCTACATATAGTCATATGTATCGGTGAATGTGCAAGTGAAGTATTATACGGTCAGCCATATTCCAGCTCTGTCACAGCAGTATCCTTGAGTCTGGACACGGCAAACCAGTGGCTGGCATGATGAACAACGATCCATGCAACCAGTCGGCTGTTACGACAAGCATTGGGTCTGTGGGTGGGGCCTTCCATGGCATCTCTACAGGACTGCTGTATCGTACGTGCACTTTATAGTCACTTACCAAAGTAGGCTAAACCTATCATTTCTGTAGATTTTAGCATTCCTTCTAAACTACCAGTACCTCTAGCTGAGTTAACTCGATTCAACAGAATTTTACTAGAATGGACTTCTGGTGAATGCCTAAAGTTGAAGATTGCTGTATTAAATTATTTTTGAAAGATAGATACATACCTTATTTTGCACTTGGAATAATGAAGACACCAATTTTTAAATATACTTATCACATCATTTTGAGTTTGAATGTATTATACTACCTCCTTTTCTAATGTCATCTTCTATTTCGCCCTGTAATCAGGTAAATATGTGACTATACATTCACTTATTGATGAGTATTGCCCAAGATACCTGTATACTAACTGCGTTGAACAGAACCTCATCCTCAGTATCCCCTCCCATGGCTTGGTCAGTTTTGTATATTCATCAAGGCATGAGCTAAAACCTCTTTTACCAAGACCTGTTTATATTTATGGATGTACTGACACTTAGAACTGTCTAGCCAGAGACTATTTTTGATACCCTGTCAAGAACATGACTGGTCTGCAGTCTTTACCACAGTCCAAACCCCCTTCACCCGCTCTCAACAATGTCAGACTTCATCAGTCAGTTCTTCTCAAGTTACTTCCCAGGTATCGGTCAGTCACCAGTTGCTATCACCTGAACCCAGGAACCATCTGTTCATCTTGGAACAGCCTACTTTTCAGTCATGACAGTTGTCCGTACTCCTCAGGCCCCCTCTGGTCAAATCCTTCAAGTTAACTTTATCTGGTATTTACAACACAGTCACTCATCTTGGTGGCCCTCAAGTGACTAAACCTCAGTCTTGTCCTTGCTGATAGGTGCAACTGTTCCATACACCAAACCACTACACTTCAGCCCTTTGTCAGTCCCTCAAACTGATTTCAATAAGTCCATTAGTTCCCAACCCCTCATAAGCCCAAACCCACCTAAGGCCAAGACACTTCAGCCCTTTGTCTTACTTGCTAGTCTATATACCTCAACCCCTTTCAAGCCCCTACACTTCCATCAGGCACATGACACACCAAAGCCCTATACTTCAGTCCCTAGCCAGTCCTTACACCTCAGCATGTCTCTGGTCCCTACTTGTTCTGCCGGTTCTTGGTGTGCATTGTGCATTATTTGAGTACACAAGGTGCCACTTATACCTCCATGGGGATCTCTCACGTAGGCGTTTTTGGATGCGGGCTCGGTATCACTCCCCACCTCGTCCGGAGATGAATACTGAGTTTCCGAATTATGCCTTTTTTCAGATTGGTGGAAAGAACTGGAGTTGCAGCTCATATCTGAGCCATGATTAGTATGGTGCCCGCCATTGGTCCGAATGTTGAGGGTCATGGGGCTGCCATGCTCTAAAGAATCGTCTTTTTGGAGCAGAGCATATTTTTTGCCTTTGTTTCGGCGAGTGTAGCGAATGCCCTCTATTTCTTCATATTCATCATCAGACTCATAACCTACAAAGAACCATGCAAAAGACATTCAGCATGCACTGTTGGACAGGCCACAAGACAACAGGTTCTGGCTTCAATGCAACGCTAGTCAAACTGGGGCACGTACAGACAGCACAACTACTCTACAGGACAAAGTGTCATCCACTCATCGGGACTTTACAACCAAAGTACAAAAACAAATTATGCAATGCTCTGTTTCATTCTGAAAATACCAATATGAAAATACCTTGGTACTGTAGCTCACCAAACAGGATTATTCAGAAGTCAGGTTAAAATACAGAGTATAAACCTAACACTTCAACCTAAAAATACATAGATTTGGATAATTTCCAAGCTCTGGACAAAATTCCTCACCTGATATTAACAAAATTAGTGCCAACAATTCCATTCTTGCCTTAATGTCTAGTGTTATGCTACAATAATGGGCACAGACACTCACACAGTCAACTGTGTTAACAAGCCACAACTATTTTTATGTCGACATTTTTACTAGCTTAGCACACATCACCAAAGGTAAATTAACACTATCAAACACGACTGCTATTTCGTAGTAGGTGAGGCAATGGAACTAGTCAAGAAGTGTATCCCTGTCGTTACTATTTTATTCATTTTGGGACATGAAATACACAATGCCATTTTAGAAAGTGGTCAAATGTAACATATGTTATATTTGGGGTTACACTTTCTCAGTAAAGTACAGATTCTAGCACTTTTGGGCTGAGCCCCATCTAGGATTCGAACCCGCACCCTCAGAGTCTGCCAGCACACAAAGTCAGGCGCCTAGACCGCTGGGCCACCGCGGCTTCCACTCGGAAGTGGTCGAGCGGTCGAGGCGTCTGACTTTGTGTGCTGGCGATTAGGTGCCTGACTCTAAGGGTGCGGGTATGAATCCCAGATGGGATTCAACCCAAAAAGTACAAGAATCTGTACTTTACTGAGAAAGTGTAATCCCAAATATAACATATGTTACATTTTGGGACAGTTTAGTAAATACAGGATAAAGTGGGTGTAGTGCAACAGCCACAAATCACGGTAATGTACTCATTTCCGCATGGAAATAAACACTGGAGAAAATTTTCGAAATTCATAACAAACCGAAATAATGTTATTTGTCCATATATCACACCCATACATTTCAAAATTTATTTCAGATGTTTTTCAATTTTAAGTGTGCTCCATTTATAATAATGAGGCTCTACTTCATAGTTTACTTCAGATGACTGATTTCAATAATGGACAAAATATGGAAACCATTTTCACCAATATCAAAAAAGTTCAAAATCTATGATTATATGGCTTGATTATTAAAGAATAGGAGAGTAACATGAAAGTTGTTTGTTTTTTTAAATAAAAAACAAAGGCAGAGTTTATTTTGTATTTTTGTTGGAAAACCTAACTTTCTGGTATATACTAGAAAGATATGACTGCCACACCTTCAGTATGTGAAGAAACCAGCTCCAGCTGACTATGTCAAGAGCTAGCAAAATTCATCATCAAGACTTTCATCAAATTAATTTATCACCTAGACTTTTAAGTTAGACATTCTGTGAACTCTTTAACCTCATAACTTGCAGGTTGTATTCTTCATCATTATTCCTCTACAATTATAGAAACCAATTTTTCCAATTCAGTAACAACTTTAAGTTATATCTGATATCAAATAATCTTACTATAAATGTCCATAAAAAAGGCTGACTAAATTAGCCAACCATTTCATTGCATTCTTTATGAGTTGTCAAAGATTTCATTTTGCACCATTGTTTATTGACATTTCACATTGATTGCTCTCTTCAATCAAAAAACACAAAGGACAAGACTAAAGACAAATTTCTCAAAGATCAAAAGGTTTTGAAAATAATTGATACAAGTTGCCTGTTATTCAGGTCTGGCACAGAGCATTGCTAGTCTTTGGAATGAATTTCAGAATAAGTTATTCTATTTCAGTTGTTGCGCTGGCAACAATCACTGAGCTCCAAGATGACACGGAGTCCTGGTTGAATCGATAGTGTATTTACATCTGAAAGGCTTGTCTGTAGATGCCTTGCTCCCAATGTTACACTTATGGTAGTAGATCAACTAACTGTATACTGATGCAATGCACTTTAGCATTTACAACACTTGTCATCACATTTCTAGCTAGTTACAATTCAAAGTTTCAGAGACATAAATAGTTCCAGAAAGAGAAATCAACGTGACATATAATGACAGGACATATGACGTTTTTAGAGTGGCATTAAACAATATAGGGGAAATCTGAAGTCGGATCTTAATACCAGAGAAGTGTTTATAGATTATGACGTTCACAATCAAGCATAAATCTTTCACAAATACATTTCAGTATTAATGGTATCAAATGCCATCTCTTCTACAAAGTCTACATTGGTATCAATTCAATATATCCTTAATTACACATGATTCTGTAATCTCTGAAACTTTGACTGGCGAATCTTGCATTATGCAGAACAAATCTAATCATAAAATTCTGTAGTTCAAAGTAAGTAAATCAAAGTCATGCCTGAAAGTCAGCAAACTGAAATAGTAAGGAAATGAAATGCAAACCCAAGTGATGAGGAAGAACACAAGGATATGAACATACCTAGAGGCATCATAAGAATCAAGGTTAAAAGGTTCAGGGGTTAAATAAAGAATGGTTACTGCTGGAAAAACAAATATTAACTGACTTTCTATGAAAACAGACACAATTTTGATAAGAAACGTAAAGGTAAATGTCAAGAATGAAATGAATATGCTGCCACTAAAACTAAGATGATAGCATGGAAGGATGAAAACCAAATCATGACAAGTGCAAACCACAGATGGAATGTAAGGGAAAATGTTCATGACTGAATTTAACAAAGGTTCGCCAATGACTGCACATCAATGAATTCCTATATTCTAACACAACATGATAAAACTATTTTAAAATTAACATGCTATCCTTCACTTAATAAAATTACAGCACTGAAACGCATCTTCTGTTGATTAACAAAAGGTTGTCAAGAATGAAATTTGCACAAAGCAAAGACTGAAATCAATTAAATATTTGTAGCACCTACCTTCCATAGACTTAGCGACACAAATTAATCTTTACTAATATAATTATTAATGACATCATTATGATCAGCAGTTATCATGATATGTTTTTCTGAAATAGTTATACTTCAAAGATTTTGTTTTTAGTTGTTATGCATGAATGAAAAAATGCATTTTGTACAAAACAATGTCTGATGCATGTACAACACTTAACAACATCTAACAGACACCTGACAACTGTAAGCCAGAGCTTGTCATGGATGCACACAGAAAAACATGATAGACCGAAGGAAAAAGGAAGGGAGGAAGAAAGTAGCAGAGATGACATCATGTCAATTTCTGATGTGAACGTTTTATAAATACAGAGTTTCATCTATGTACGATATTCCAGGGTTTTTCATTCAGAAGAATTAATCTCATTTAGCACATGCAATTTTTATTTTTTTAATCTACTTCGGTTAAATTTGGACTATGTTTTTCAAGATTTGAACAGATTTCATTTCACAGCCATGCATCAATATCAATGCATGCACATTCAGGATGCATTCATGGCAGGTGGTTGTCTAGTTTCATCTCACGATCATGTCATGTCATTCTTCTTTCTAACAGACTTTGACAATAAGTTTTATTAACCATTCATTCATTCTGATTTTCATTTCAGAAATTCAGAAAATATCAATGGAATCTATTCAAAAACAGTTTCCGCATGATCAGTAGAATTCATTATTGCTGGTTCATATTTCAGATGATATTGTAAACAAGCTGGTTCCATCATTGTAAATGACCATGAACTGAATATCTACAATGAACAAGCCACAGACAAAAGATGAAAATAGCAACTGTTCTGTGACACAAAAGCTAGTCCAACAATCTGATGATGATTAAACTTCAAAGAAATTAGTTCTCCAAACATAGAATAATGCCGTTTTTCAAGGCGTGGGTAATAGTATCTTTTATGTGATAAAAATGTTCATCGATATTTGTAAGTGTCTTTGGAACAATTTTCCAATACTTTTCATTATGCTTCCATCTGGAAACTGTTCTGTCACATCTTCTTTCTTTAGGCACACAATAATGCCTCTTTTCAGCCTCGGCTAGCCATGGACATATTGCTGACTTGCAATTTTCCCCAATAGTCTCTGATTGCAACACCTGCACGATGCTATTTTAGGTTACCTTTCAAGCAATTCACAGTTGTCATAGTAACGATTTTACGTAAACATGTTTATTCATAAGCAAGGACATATCCTCATCATTTTTATCATACAAAATGCATCTGCTACCGTTGCCATAGAGATATTTTGATCCACACAGTTTTCATGTTTACCAGTCTCTAATTGTAACTAAGATACTATATCAGAGAAAAATGAAAGACAGATGAAAAAGGTTTAAAATAGCTGAAATCAAAAGGCAAGGATTTGCATGAAATTCCATATAAGATGAAAGAACAAGAGGCTGTGGTGGTAAATGTGAAGCAAGTTTAGAAAGGCTTATAGTTTCAAGAATCCATATTAAATATTTGATTCACAGATGTAGCCATGGGTTTTAGCTGTTAACACTTAACGTAGAAAGTATGTGAACTGACTGAAAACATCCACATCAATCATTAACCTTAATGCTTTGATCAATACAAGAAGTTGAAGTATCCATATATTTTAGGATAGTCAGAACCTGTTATTCAGAAAGGTTTCACAAATAAATCATCCAGCTACAGCAGGTTGGCCAGTCAGCCTGTTTAGTGGGCGGAATGACTAGCTGACAACACATGGCTATACCGTGTGACAGACATAGGTTATATTTCTCCATAGAAAGCACACTACAAATGGGCTATAGGTATGTAGTCCTAACTCTCCTACACAGCTAAAGCTACACAGCCATGACTATAAGGACTGGTGTGAAGCAGGTATGTCTTCAGTCATTCAGGCAAATATTTTACTGGAGCCACGGGAAATATTTTCCATCACTGTGTTGGTCATTTAAAGCATGCTGTGTAAATGAGTTGTTAACAGGATAATAAGTTTTGTTTAGTTTTGATGGCTAAATATCCATTTTACAATTTTAGATTGAAGATTGTTTTCGCATATATACTGAAGAGCTACTTTTCTATGCCAAAACTATACACCTATTGCTAGTTCATTTGTTAGGGTGCACAGAAAATATGTTTTTGTTCATACTGAGTGAAAAAAGAAAGAGTACAGAAACAATTTTTTTTCATACACTGACTGGAATTGAATAAACAGATGACTAGAATCAGAGAGTTCAATGCCTAAGTCCAAGAACCAGGAATATGACATGATAGAGATTGTAGTAATTTAGTCTAATCTTCGTATTTTTCTCTCTACTGTTTAACATCATTCTGACATCAAAACAGCAAAGTGAGTGAGTGAGTTTAGTTTTAAGCCGCTTTTAGCAATATTCCAGCAATATCACGGCGGGAACACCAGAAATGGGCTTCACACATTGTATCCATGTGGGGAATCGAACCCGGGTCTTCAGCGTGACGAGCGAACCCTTTAACCCAAAACAGCCAAGAGGAAGCAATACATCTATTTTAAATGATTATTTAACACTAAAGGAATATCCATCACAAAGAGTTCCTACCACTTCCCAGGATTCCTAAACCAGCATATCCCACTACTTGTAATGCGGGTGACAATTATACAACAACACAAAAACCTTTAATTTTTAGTTTTGGAATGATGGTAAAGATCAAAAGTTGAAGGTCCCTCAAGTTAATGTATCAGTACATTTGTCCCCGTCAATATTTTTAAAATACCGTAAATACATCAAAGAGTAATCCTGTTTGTTTCCCCCCCAAGGAGCTTCTGTTAATTTTTGCTTTAACTCCAACTTTCTTTTTGAAACAAATTCAGTTCTACAGACCAAATAATCATTTTGTCATAGCTGAAGATTCTTTCTGCTATGGCTTGGACATATTTGCCTGGATGTGTGAGGAGCTTGAAGGTGTGATGTAGCTCTGATGTGTACACAAGTATATGTATGATATCAACAGCAGAGAGTCAGATGTGGAAGCAGATATACCACAAGCATAAGAACACACATGATGACTGGTAGCCATAGGAGCCCTCATCAGATCCGTTTACCCCTAAAATCTAGACCAGTTTTAGAACTCCATGAAACACTGTGGTACCATGAAAGTATTTTCATGGCATTAATTGTACACAATTGAGACAAAATGCCAACAAATTCACTATTTCATGATTCCCGAAATGTTATTGATTTTTCTCTTTGAGTGGTACTTAGTGCTAAATATCACCAAAGACAGGATAGACTTCTGGAACATATTTCAGTTGTTTCAATGTGATGTTTCAGTGCAGGTGCCAGTAATTCATCACGCAGCTGGTACCAGTACCGGCACCAAACCATACCACTGAACCAAGGAAGTTGAAATCCACAACTATCCTGTCTTCCAGGCCATTTATTTGACAATGGCATGACCTGTACCCCAGACTTTGACCTGATACAAGGTGAACTTCACTGACAAGGGCACCTCTCACACAGGGTGGTCAATACTCGGTGTCATGACAAGTTAACAGTGTGGATGTGATGGAAGATGCATGTCATGTGTTCTTGCAAGTGTGTTTTCAACAGGAACAAAACATGCTCTGAGATCATACACTGATAAGTGAGGATAGATTGATAAAATTTGAAAGAGGTGAACATTTGATTTAAGCTACGAAATTAGTTTAGAATAATCAATTCTTTTGTAGTTTTTCCAACCATTTTCATTTCGAATTGACAGTTAACATTAAGATTAGATCAAAGACCCAGTAGCTTAGCAATTAATCCAGATTTAAAAAGACATATTTTTGCAGCTGATGTTGTTGATTAGAGTGACTGGAATGAGCGTGCGAGTAGCTGGTGTTAGCCAGGTGAGACAGAGTATATAGACAAGTTATAGAGTGCTCCACAGCACAGTCAACACGCTAACTACGGCAACACTACAGCAAGTTTCCTACCGGTGGACCGTACGACTGGAATGAGAGTAACATGGAGGTATCAGTGTGAGGTTGTTACTGGGGCAGGATGGAGTCACTGAGCACAGTTGGACATGACAGAAATCAGCTCACTTGTGGCATCAGGGAACATGGATATTATCAAATGAATCCCTTTCACAGAAGAGACATAACATCTTAACATATCCTTCTTATAACAGTGTAATTTTGATATTTGTGTCCAATAAAGTCCACATCTACACAGAAACACAGTTGTTAATCACAGATTATTTATCAAATGTATATGAATGTAAATTATTTATTTAAACCCTGATGTCTCAAGTTGCATGATTTCTGTCACAAGATGAATCCCAATGTGATGTTTATACACATATCCATTTTGAGAGTCATCATCTCCAAACAATGCTAGGACTAGTAACTGATGTAAGTGGAACTCTTTCCAGAACTGCATTCCTCTGCTCCCTGAAAGAAAACTGGCCTACACCAGACTGGTAAGATCAGGAAAGCCCAATTTCCACACACAACCCCCACCACCAACAGAAAGAAACCACAACTGAACCTCAATGGCAGCCACAAGATATTTCAAAATGGCCGCCACTAGCAGGTGACAGGTGACGTCTGTCAGTTACCTTTGGGTGCCTGATAGGCCTTCCCATTGTTGTTTGTATACTGGTTGTCAAGTAATCCATCTTTCTCATCGTCCATTTCATAAACTGTCAAGAGAAAACAGCAGTTGAGAAGCGAGTACATCAAGCATGAAGGGTATAAAGTCACAGCATGGATCCACAAAAACTTCAAAACAAATGGAAGGTAGACATTAATTCCATGAACACTCACTGGTGAATTAAAACCCTCTACAAGATCGTGGCTGAATGAAAGAGGAATGAACTACAAAGCTATGTGAATTCTGTTATGCTGTTACATATTGTCGTCACAGATGTTCACAAGCACAAGGCACCAAACCCTACTGTCAGTATGAATATCACTTGCTGTGACATAAAAACCAAATATTAATTAACATAGATGAATATTCGTTGGGGAGTCATTCAGCCATAGAACTGATGCTTTTCCATGCTAATAGGTATATAGGATTTAATAAATATAACAATTGGAAGAGTTTATTACGATTGTAACATTTAACCAAAAATGATAAGCAAATAATGCATCTACAACAGTACAAACTTCTACATGTTCCACCAGCATGCCAGGCTAAACAGACAATAATGTTTAAATGAGTATATTAGACTACAATCAGTTTTAGCATGGTCCGTAAAATAATGAGAAAGGCTGTTTAGTCAGGGGAGAATGCATCACCATTAAACATGGTAGAAGGACAATTTCAAACAGAAAAAAAAGCAAAATGTGCATTATATTGAAACTTAATATTAGTCTACAAATTAGTATGTCGAAACTTAACTTTTGTGAAGTTTGTTCCAATTTAAAGTATTGAGATTATGAAAAACCTTCTCTCCAACCCTCAGCCACATTTCATTGGTATGAAGCATACTGATGGCTAAGAGAATAATTGCAATGTTCCAGAAGACATGTTTTATGTAAAAATAGGCCATCATGTTCATTGTGAATGAGGAGAATTTATTGGAATATGGAAATAGAATAACCATTCTGTAATGTCTTCCAATATATCAACGAGACATGCCAACTTTAGTGTTATTGATAATCCCCAGACATTTCAGACAGGTGTTTTCCAACAACCTCAGCAGACTCAATGTCTTTCTCAGCATGCTGTACAAAACCTGTCCTACACTCTGACAGTAGTAACCTTTAGGCACTAACAAATTACTAGTATATTGACTATCTATCATTCAACAGTGCTGCCTGGGTAAGTGTGTACTATGAGTTCAGCTGTATATCTCACTAAAATCAGCAAGTAGTATGATTGAGTGAGTGAGTGAGTGAGTGAGTTAGCATCAGAATATATAACAGCATGTGCAGGTTCGTGGAATGGTCTCGGACAGGAAATGGGGCAGGAATATGGCTAACATTGTGCAGAGGCAAGCTGGTTTTTCGAAAATGTCCTACTATATATTACATATTGTACAAGATAGACTGATTATATTCCAGTTAATGTCAACCCTCAACCCTTCAGTTTACACCATAGTTACCAGTAAAGAAAGCTCGCACATCTGAGAAAGAGATTTCAACTGTTATAAAAGGTCAAAAGTAAAACTTATTGAAAATATACATAAGCAACAGACACCTATTATCACAAACATGTCAGTTTCAACCTGACTGAAAACTGAGTACAAGGTAGGCCACAATAATTAGATTTTCATCCATATGTTTAAAACAACATAAGTTGGAAGTAATTTCTTTACTGTGAATACAAATAAAGAATATAAATCTGTACTGATCTGTTCACACCAACTGTACATTAGCTGTCTTTGGATGGGATTCAATAAAGTATTCATTTTTACCAAAAGGGAACATCAGCTGGATTTTCGAAAGGGGAGAAATGAATCGTTTTGTTTTGTGGAAAGTACCTAAGCACATAAAGGGGTTTTGTTAACAGTAGAAATGAACCTGCTGTTTGGTGCTTAATAATACATAGTTAGTTGGAGCTTGAGAGAAGTATTGTTCATTGAAAGAAAATCACTCCTCCCCCATTCTTAATCAAATGGATGCTCCCTGAAATGTTTACCCACTAACTGATGACTGCTATTTACTTCATTTGGTCAGGAGGCTGACAATCATGAAAGGACTTAATTTAGAATGACCTTGTTTATGTGTTTGCATAATTAGAATGTAATGACTTGATTATTTTGCAGTACAACTTCCCCTATGCCACAACTATACAATCACAACTGACAGTCTAGGCAACCTGCAGCCATTGTCATGTATCATGCATTAGGAAAACATTCACTGACGATCTGCACCCTAGGAGCAAATGAACGAGGCAACTATGCATATCAAAGGAAACCTAAGATGAAGAGAAAGCATAAAATATTAAATATCACTGTCTCCGTCTAGGTCAAAGGTCATCCAGTCCCAGGTGTTTAAGGGACTCCATCTTCTCGCAAAGGCCAGTGGTTAATTCAGGGTTCATAGAGTACATATCACCACATGAAAGTCACATGTCAAATGTCAGGGTGGAATGAAAGATTTCATAGTCTTCTCTTCGGGGAAAAAACAGAAACAATTATTCCTGATACAGTATTGAAAATGAAAACGATGTCGGTAACCAGACCAATTCTTGGCTTTGGGAAAACACAGAAACAGCCTGTTTCCTTTGAGAATGCATCCTCATCATAAATCAGTAAATTCATAAACCTAAATAAACGTTGCTGAAGTATGTGTGGGTACATAAACAGCTTCCTCTGCAGCGGTAAGTATCTTTGGATACCAAAAAATTAAAATTTGGAACATGTCTACAAAATGTGCTCTGATGAACACCATTACTAAAAATAGTTTTAAGTTTCAAATGTTTAGATGCCTGAGATCAAACTTTCAAATAATTTTTAGCTGAATATTTATCCTAGATTTTAGGATCCGTTAATGCAATAATCTTTTTGACAAAATTGTTAGCAAATTCTGGATAATTAACAACGTTTCAGATTATAACAGCATTCTTCATCATTTCTTTATGCCTATTGACGATCTGCACATCAATGACCAGAGGCCCAATCCTCCAAGTGTTAGTAGCTTTACAATATTTGTTAGCCTGTGATAGAACATACAGGGGTGGAAATAACCCATTGCCCGACACCCCAGTCCAGTGTTTTTTTCTGTCGGGCAAGCAAATTTGTATATCACACTGTACCGGTGTCCAGTTGACTTTGCAATGTTAATTATGGTGTTTATTTAAAAAATCACCAAGAAAATCAGCCAGTATAGTGGAAAAATTATCAGGGCAAGTGATTTTACATGTGCCACTGTACCGGAGTACACTAGCAATTTTAAAGTTATTTCCACCCCTGACATATAGTTCAAACCACAATGAATTGGACCCCAGGTTATATATGTGGCAAGGTCAGAGATTACAACACAATCAGCATTCAATACAAGCTCCAGACTTCATAAATGTTATCCACAAACAGCATAATTGTGAAAACAGCAGGTACACCATTGTTTCTTTTTCAACACTGTTGACAGAATGATATGCATTTATACACTTCACTTTTCTGATCTAGAAATGATTGTTAACATAGGTTGGGATAAAACTCTCTAAAAGGTCTCATTAAATCCCTAACCCTTTCAGAGTGAATGTGACTTCCATTGGCAACACCCGAGGTGAGGGCAGTTAGTGGGTATTCCAGGCTGGATGTTAGTGGATGCAAAACTTGCCAGCAAAAGTTGGAATTGCAGGTCGCGGTTTTTCCTCATCAGGGGACCCCTGACCTTCACCCTCGGCCTCTGCACCATTACTGGCATTACCTGTGTCCTCTGACCCACTGCACTCAGCACCATCTACTGGACAAAACAGGAACCAAACTCAACAAAGGGAGGTAATGTGAAGTAGTGTGTTTCCTTCCTACCTCACCTTCAAAATCTGTGCAATATCTTGTGCATTTACACAGGAGAAAGACGCTTTATTAACATTCCTGATAAAATAATCACACAATCACCCAAATTATGCATGCTTAAATGATCTGTACTGTCATAACAAAATAATACAAATCAATAACTATCTTAATCCAGCAAAATGCAAAGACTAAAAGTAGGTCTCAACTTTTGATCAATGTACCTGTCTTCAGTATACATGAACCCGCAAACATGTTAAAGAGTTTTGAAAAGATTTTAGCTGTTACATATTTGTATTAAGTAAAACCCTTTTTTCCTGATTATGCAAGTAATGGTTTAAAATGCCAGCACTTTCTTCAATCAATAACATTATAAAGTCATATGTCAACCTAAATGGCACAGTTTACCCTGGTTCCAAGCTGGACATAACAGTGTTATACCCACCATTAAGTAACATCATGGCCAAAACACAGCTCCACAATCCAATTATGTCCTATTTCCAAAACACACACATCTTACACATCTAATGTACAATAATGTAGCTAAATGCACTTTGTCTCGACTTGCACCTTGCCTACACAATGGTTGATGGCCAAGAATAGATGGGGAGCCTAGAACTGCTCTTTGGTAATCAATGGTCAAGACAGGTCAAGGTGGCAACATCCATAACCTTTCCTTCTTATCATGTATCTTTTCAAGAGTTTTTCTTAGTGCATTGAGAAAAAGTAGCATTTGGTAAAACTGTGGAATAAAAATTATTTCACACATCTATATTCTGCAATACAAATGAATAATCATTTCAGTATAATCAATGAATACTACAAAAGTGGGTTTCAGACTTATAAAAAACTCAATATCATCAAAGGAAGGATGATGTTTTATTTTAATGATATGCAAAACAATTATGACCGAAACAATGCTTGAATTGGCATAAAAAGCTGAAATTTAAAGAATTCTTAATTAAAATATGCATGAAAAAAAAGAAACACAAACAAAAAATACGTTACTGGAAATAAAAACGAGAACAAAATCTCTACCTTTTTCCTGTTCCTGTTTGGCATACTCTTCCTCTTGTTGACGTTCAATCTCTTCTCGTACTCTGCGCATCTCTTCCTGTCTCTGTTGCATTTTCTGTATGTTTGGGTCTCTGAAAACACCAGCGGGACCAATTAGAGTGGGAAACTACTTCCATATATAGGTACAGAGCGACGACAAAGTGGCTGAAATTTTGTCCTGGCCTGAGGCAGAAAGCTGATATGCTGAAGAACTGGGAGAAATGCTGCAATGTAAAGCTGCTGCGTCCAATGCATCACTGTACAAAATTGATAACCATGAAAGGATAACGAGGTTGTTAAAGTATTTTACAGAACCTATTTCACAAGTGATTACATTGTAGGGCTTCTATATCCTGTCATCTTTCTGTATTACAAAGTAACTTGCTCAGTTGAGGATTGTCTTCAATATATTTTGCATTTATGGAGTTATAAAAAAACAACAGAATGCACAGTGTACAAATCCACAAAGCATGGCAATGTCAATTTATGTAATAAATAATGTAAATGTTTGTAACTTAACAGAATGATTATTTAGTGATTGAGATAAAAACCTGGGCCTAGACTTTCAAAGCTCTCTTAGTGCTAAGATAGTCGTAAGTGACATACATGAACATTAACTTACGACTATCTTAGCACTAAGAGAGCTTCGAAACTCTAGGCCCGTGGATCTTCTGTATGACGAGTGAACTCTTTAACCACTGGGCTACCCCAACGCTTTGTCAGAATCGAGAACTTTCAACATTCAAGCGTTCGTGATATTACGTTTTAAGACAAACACTGAAAGTTTTTTCAACGTTTTTCTGATTGTCTCATGAAAAGTTAGAAATCCTACAGTATAATCAACCTGATCAGCAGAGGGTTTCACCTCACACAAAATACTGCATCCAATAAGCACTATTGACATGGATGGTGAATATAGTGAATCCTGAGGAATGCAAGAAAGCATGAAAGCGTCATCACAACAAATCAAAACTGTAGACTGCATGTTACATAACTGACATTTCTTTTCTGTTCAGAAAAAAATCTCAAGGTGACAGTGGATGATGCAACTCTAAAATTGCAACTTTAAATGGTTTACTGCTTCTGTGTATGTGATATGACACCAGTAAACAGCCTTGGATAGTGAAGCATGCCACCCAAGACAGTCCCCACGCAATCTGAGTTCCCTGGATTCAACAACAGACACATCCACATACACACAACATCAGTGTACCACAATCTACTGACAGACTCTTAGTCAGACTTGGAATGGGTCAGTATAGTGAATAAATGTTCTTTTGTGCCTGGACAGTAAAGTATTATGAAACATCAGTGTTTTAATATTACAATTTACAAATATGGTTAAAAAGAAGATAGCTAAATTCACACCTACAAGTGAAGTTTCAGTGATCCACACACTGTAAATCATTATTGATGTAACACAAACATCAATGTTGACGTACCGAAATACTGTCAGAACAGTTACAACATCATTATCATGCTTGACAGTTACTGACTCTGCGGGCCTGAATAATTTCAATGACTGCTCTGTAATAATTAGAGTAACTGATCCATATAATTTGAATAATTGCCCAGTTTAGAGACATAAATTTCACTTTCAGTGTTCAGTATGTTCCAGGCCAAATACCTCCATTCCCAGCTCCCAAGAACATTGTGTACGAAGGCATTGGTTAGCAGTATAGCGCTAGGAATCAACCCTGAAAACTGAGTTCAATAATCCAGAACTTCAATCAATAGACTAGTTTGATTGGCACTTGGAAGTGCTTCATCACAGTTCATGACTGTTTCCATGTATGATTCAGTCCCGTTGAGTACCACGCATCATTACCATGCCCACTTTTTTTACCCGTCTTCCCAGCAAGTGCTCCTGGTTTATCAGCCCATCAAATATCTTGCTGTGTCAGTATCATATATTTACCCGAACCAGAATCTGGCAAACAAGCTGACATATACAAACTTATCTCAACAATATAGGGTCATCAATGTAAGCAATGCTTCTGACAAAATAACAAAAGAACTGAATTTCACTTGTGTGAGTACATTTGTTTATGAACCTTCACACAGACTGGCCCATGCTGTTGTATTCAGAATAAAATAGTCCTTGGAAAGGAGAATTGGTATGTGCAATTGTATAATCAAATGGTAACATCTTCTGTAGTGTGGTCAGAACACATATTTTTTAATTATACACTCTTCACAACAAGACGGGATACAAGGAAATATTGTAAAATATCTCAGATTGTTAGAAATTCTAACTATACCTGTATGATAAAAAATGAACAAATCTGGAACATATTACAAGTAGTTAAGTACTTCAGTGGATGTTATGACCAACGATCTGGAAGGATGACAGGGGTAAGATGGGATATGTTGATGTGTTTTGGATCAGTAGTGTGTAGTACCTCCACAGAGGTTGTCCCAATGGCAATTTGAGGGAGTCTGTACCACTCTGTTAGCAGCACCTGGCCAAAGTCAGCCAATCTGCTCTCAGAGTATGATGCTGATGCATGTGACTCCCTATCTTGAAAGACAAAACGTCAACCAAATGTCCTTGCATTTGGGACAACAAAGGGTGTCATAGGTTTTCATGATAGAACTGTCCAGTGATCCTTCCTTGGACAATATGGAGTAGGGTTCTTTCAGTCATAACTGACCCACCACCAAATCTGTCATGAGGTCTCAGGTTGACATTGGCTGTTTGTTGACCTGTGGGACCCTGATCATCGATTGTCAACATTCTGGGTTTTGTTGGTAATCACTGACTGTGAAACATTAAACACACTGGCCACTGCATGCAGACCTTTACCAGTTTCCATCATGCCAATAGTCCACAGATGCGACTTCACTGCAGCCACTGAATCGCTAGTGCATATATAGACAGTGAGTGAAATCAAGTAAATCAAAATTTGAAGATAAGAAGAATCCTCAAGACTGACAGTAATAATTGTTCATAAATGCCAACTGACTTTCCTTGAAAGTTACAAAAATGTCTGTGACCCCTGACTCACATGTGTGGCGCTACTGCATGTATCACTTGCAAAACTATAGGATGTGATATATGTTTATGCATAAAAGGCTTGTGCTCCACAGTTATCGTTGTTCCACTAATTGATCTAAACATTTCCGCGTCATGATCCCTGCCTTTTTAGTCATTCATTCATTCATACATACATACATACATACATACATACATACATACATACATACATACATACATACATACATACATACATACATACATACATACATACATACATACATACATACATACATACATACATACATACATACATACATACATACATACATACATACATACATACATACATACATACATACATACATACATACAGTATCATAGTATATAATCACAAGATAAGAAAGGTTGGTTCAGAAGTACCTTAGTAAGTTAGTCACAGAGACATGTTAACAGGTTGTCAAAACTGCTGACAAAAAACATGATGGAAGCAATTTCCAATGTTGTTAGTTCCCAAGTGGCAACCACACAATAGCTTCTAATAAGATGTGTCAAAAAGACTCAGAGATAAATTCATAGATTGTTGAAGATTCTTGCTTACAGACCAGACACAGATCATGTTGATACTATGTTTGGATATGCAGTTCTTAGTTTTGTTTAACAAATTCTATGTAATTACATCTCCCTGACCTTCAAATGACCTCCAGCTCCTTAAAGTTGCACAAAGACCCAGACAGAGAATAAATGCAGTTTCAGATTATACGTTTTAGCAACAGTGACATGCACATGTTAACTGTATGATCATTTTTTGCTCTTATTCATCAAACATTTATTTATTGTAGAAGGAATATTTTATGAATATATACCATTAAAATATGAGGGAGTATTTTAACATTGATTTTATGATTATTTGATCAATAAATAAATTTTGGCATCCAAAAGAATCGGTAAACCGATATTAAGATTGATGGTACAAGTCTATACTAAGAAGATTCAGGTCCCTTTCAAATTAAATACATGTGTTGGAAAGTAATTCTCTACTACTTAATGCTATCCTCTTTTTAAAACTGCAGATGTTTGACCATTAAGAGTTTAAATTTTTCGGATGCTGTAACCCAAGTTTTCTTATGGAACACTCAAAACTGTATATACAATTTTATTTGTTATAGTAACCACAGAAAACACAGCTGCATCAACCAGGATGACATAATGTGTGGTCCGTTACTTCTCATGGCAGTATCCGAACATCAGACAATTGATAAAAAACTGGGACCAAAGAATTAAACTCAGACGAGAATCATTTCCAGAACAGATTACTGAAACACAGGCAATACAATGTAAAATGAATGAAGGCAACTCTCTTACCGATTCATAATGTATTTGCAGGCCTGGCTGTGGTCATGGTACAGACGTATTTGTACGTACATCTCCAGCAGTTCGATGAGGTTTTGGAAAATCTCACCATTGAAATGGTTCACAGTTGATGTCGACATTGTCCCATCAGTTACAGACAACACTTGTCTTTCACAGTAATCCGAACTTAAATACAGATTCTTCTCTATACTTCAGCACTTTATAAAACTCTAACATCACACGCACAACATCTTGCACTGGCTCCTTGAATTCAGTTTTCCATTTAAAACATTTCTCAAGAAAATGTTTAATGCTTACATCATTTATTCACAGTGAAACCAAATATTGATTGACTTGAACAAACCTGTTTCACAACCAAAATATCCACAGACTGAAGTTAAGAAATCCACTCAGAAAAATATCCTACAATTGAAACTATTTATTATTATTCATAAATGTGAAGTAGCTTTGAAAGATATTACTCCGTGAACAACATCCACCAATCATTTCCACAATTTCAGAGCGTTTTCCGATTTCTTTGTCCAGCTGTCTGGTCAATGAATCTACACTTGTGTCACTGTCTTGTCCAAACACAAAACATGACTAATCGCGAAACATGCAACTTTCAGATTAAGATCAATAACCCATAAATAATTTAACCACGACACAGTCATGAAAATCTAAGTAGATTTGTATCAGAAGACAAAGGGTCTCACATGCTGCCTAGCTCTGCAACAACACTGAAGTAAAGCACGGACCCAA